GAAAAAGAGTTCAGAATTTTCAAAATATGCCAAAATAAAAAAAGTAATTTTTTGTCAAATTTATAGTTTCTCAAAAATCTAATTTTTTCTAAGTAATTTTTTTTCAAAAATGTTAATCTTTTTAAAAAAATAATAATTTTTGGTACGGAAAGTTTCAGCAATTTGCCTTAAGGCACGATACCATGCGCCCCACTAGTTTTTTTATATTATTAATCATGTAAATTCGAAATAAAACGACTCTGAAATTGAACTTTTGAAGACGCGTTTGAACTGATTACTGCCGTCAAAAGTGGGACAATGACGTCAAATATCTTACAGGATTGTGATTATGGCTTTTTTCATGTTATGAAGCAAAAACTCCATGTTAAGAAATAATTGAACCGTATTTCGAAAAAGTTTCAATAAAAGCGAGAAGCACTTATTGTATACCAATACTATCTTTTGATTTTACAAATTGCACCTGACTAATGGCAAAACTATTCTATGTTTTCCATAACAAAGAAAAATTGTGATATTTTTCCATACATCATAATATGAAACGCTCATCAATAATGTATCTATAATTACATATTAATAAGAATATTATATAGACTATCTTATTAAGAGTTCGTCTATTATTTTTATATTTTTCTAATATGTCTGCAACATTAAATCTGATTGCTATAATTAGTTTATAACTGATGATATAACTAGATGTATCAAGTATGTAATACTTCCGGGATATTTATTCAGTAGTGTGTATGCACTCTAAAATTTTTACTAAAATGAAAAATATCATTCTTAAGAACAGACTATTAAAAAATACGTTAACCGTATTGCATTGGTGTGGTTTTGTGACTTTCGAAAAGCAAAAGCTTAAGTGGTTTATTAAAATTAAACCTTATATTTTACTGGCACCATATATTATTTACATTTCAACAGAAATAATAATGTTCCTCTTCCGAGACAACGATCAAGTTACCAATATATCGATAAATTCGTGTAATATATTATTTTATACAAGTATTTCGATAAAAGCTTCGACATTCATTAAATATCGTAAGCAATTTTCGAAACTGTTCTCTACAGTGGACAAAAATATACGTTTAATCGAATCTTGCGGGCAGGAAGAAAATAAAATATTGGATAACCATATTAAACATTGTAAAATTATAATGTGGATACTTCATGCGAATGCGTTATTAGCTGCATTATTCTGTGTGTTTTTTTATATATTTATTTGTTTTCTATCTCAAAAGTGAGTAATCATTATTATAATAATCATAATAATCATCTTATGCATGCCCGTTAATTCATTATATGATTTTCAAAAAATTAGAATTAAGATAAAATGTGGTACGTACGTTGAAAAAAAAACCTATTTATATACGATTGAAATTAGTCGATTTATCAGAAATTTCGGTTTTTACTATTTTATTAGAAATATTACAGTTAATATAAAATAATTAGATAGGGAAGCTGGGGCTTGTAAAATCGGATGCTTTGATCTCTCAAAAACTTCTATTATTTGCACATTTGGGTCAGGCTTAGACCGGGCCTGTCTTTTTTTTATCATTGCGAATTGAATATTATTTTTGAATCAAAAAAAATATCGCAATTTCGATTTTTATCAAATATAAAACTTTGCATATTTTATAAGACTCATTAAACAAAAGATTCTAAAATTTTTGAAGAATTTCTGAATCGATATATTTGAAAAATTTGGGAATTACGAATTATGAATATATATATATATATATATATATATATATATATATATATATGGCGCTAGTGGGCCATATATTATTAATTAATTAATTCTTGAATGAAATCGCAATAATTTTATTTCAACTCGATAATGACTGTTTATTAATGTCTCAATTGATAAAGATGTTGATATTACATTAAATCAAATCTAAATTTCGATCACGAGAAAACGCTCGTTGGCAAAAAAACTCGATACAATATTTTCGATCGTTTTAAAAAGCGCGACAATAATATTCGATCGTATAAAAACAATCAGATCGTTATAGCTTGCTTGATGCCAGATCCGAATCAACGTAGCCCAATATAATTTAGTTTTGTCATCAACTGACGTTATTCAACTGACATCTGTCATATGGTGTTCATTCCGCCATTGTCATCAATTGACGTCCTTCAACTTCATATGGTGTTCATTCCGCCATATATATTAGGGTGGTCCTTAAAATGGTCATTTTCGAATTTCCTTGCTCCCAGGGGCCCAAATGGTTCCAAATTGATAAAAAACAATTCTCTGAAAGTTTTAGCTCTTAATACTAAGGTTTAGATAGAGCGCAATTCAATCAAAGTTTGTATGGAAAGAGCATGAAAAAACTTTTTAAAATTTAAAAAAAATGTTTTAGGTATAACTTAGCGACAAATGAATGAGTATTATTCATTTATTTGTTCGCTAAATTACATCTAAAAAACATTTTCAAAATTTTTGAAAATTTTTCCATGCTATTTCCATACAAAACTTTGATTGAATTGCGCTCTATCTAAACGTTAATATTAAGAGCTAAAACTTTCAGAGAATTGTTTTTTATCAATTTGGAACCATTTGAGCCCCTGGGAGCAAGAAAATTCGAAAATGACCATCTTAAGGACCACCCTAATATATATATATATATATATTAGGGTGGCCGTTAATATGGACATTTTCAAATTTCCTTGCTCCCAAAGGCTCAAATGGTTCCTGATAAAAAACAATTCTCTGAAAGTTTTAGCTCTTAATATTGTCTTTTAGATGATTTAGATTTGAATGATGAATAAAACTCATTCATTTGTCGATAAGTTATACCTAAAACATTTTTTTTAATTTTCCAAAAAAATTTTCATGCTATTTCCATACGAAGTTTGATTGAATTGCGCACTATCTAAAAAGACAATATTAAAAGCTAAAACTTTGAGTGAATTGTTTTTTATCAATTTGGAACCATTTGAGCCTTTGGGAGCAAGAAAATTCGAAAATGTCCATATTAATGACCACCCTAATATATATATATATATATATATATATATATATATATATATATATATTGCTTTTGAATCTATAGGTATTTATTGATCAGTACCATTTTATGTGTAAATCACAGTAGTAATATATTAATTTTAATTATTTCAAAATCAAAATTAAATTATAATTTTTCTGAAACCTAAAATAAACCCTATTATAATTTTATGGTATAAGAAGCATAAAACCGAATTATGAGAAGATTTAACATGAACTTTTGTTTTGCACTATTACCTAAATGTATGGACTATAATTTATAACAAATTTACAGCAATAAAGTTAGTTTTTTATTTACAGATTTCCAATGCAAACGAACTCATTTCAAACAGATGATTGTAAAGTTTGGTTTACACTTTATGAACAAAACTCTAAGATCTTTCTGATCCTTATGTGTTATTCTTTTATTACTGATAACCTTTTGTTCATATATTTAAATGGAATTATCATTACGTTAATGATTTATGTATCTTGTATGCTTCAAATATTGCAATATAAAATAAAAAATCGATGCGTTGATCTAAAAAAAGGCTCATATCGCATATATAAAAAATTAAATGACAAACAAAATAAAAAACTGATCTGCGGTTATATCCAGGAACATTCGCGTATAATCAAGTAAGTAAGCACTAATATTATGAACTTTAAGAAATACCCCAGATATTGAATTAAAATGTAACAAACTAAAATTTTGAATAAAATTTAACATATTTTCAAATGCATATACAAATTATACAAAGAATTATTAATTAAAATAATATTTATTTAACTTGCTTTTTTAAATAAAACCTTCCATTTCAGATTCTTGCGAGACTTTGAACATATTATAAAAGTTCCAATGTCAGCTGATTTTGTAGCTTATGTAATGTTATTATGCTGCCAAATATTCGTTGCAAGCAAAGTAAGATTTTACAGTATAATAAAATATGAGTAACTACATTAATAAATATTTGCATTTTAATTTTTCAGCTAACTTTTGGATTGGAGTCAGTATTTATATGGCAATATTTTATATTATTAGTGGTGGTGACGTTGTTATACTATTGGCATTCAAATGAAATACAGTTGCAGGTAGAATTATTTATAAGCAATCAGCTTTGTGAATGCATAAATATAATTTTATGATATTACGCAATTAATTGTTTCTGAAAACAATTTGTATTGATAATAAATAGAATCATAAAATAGATCTCATAAAGTACATAAACAATATTCAATTAGAAGATTTTTGCTAAATATCTATTCAAGTCATATGAATTAGTAGGACCGTATTATATGGCCAAATGAAACATGTCCATTTATATAAGAGAATAGATATCGTAATAACGAAACGTGTCAAGATTATTTAAGAGTTAGATTTTTAAACTTTAAGCTGTGATGTAATTGTAAAAAACGTAAGCTGACAACATGTAATTTCGGGGTTGATACGTACCTGCACCAATTAGGTACCAAGAAGTATGATCACATATAATATTTATAATATCCAGTAAAAATCGCGTTTCGAGTATTCGCAAAATAGCCATTGCAAACCCCTGTCTTTTGTATTACTTTGATTCAGAATAATAAATTCAAACAACACAGTAACTGTCAAAATATTGTGGAGAGAAAGGTGGGTCCCATTTTTAGGGGCGATACTGCTACGTAGTACAATTTGAGCATTGTTACCCGAATAGAAGCACTTGTAACTATCTTTGGGGGTTAGTAGCAGATATATATGCGAATGAAACCAATATTACACTAATGATTGGAACTATTTAATAACTGAAAATTTTCCCAAATGCATTTTCAGCTGCGCCATATGCATTTGTTTCCATTGCTCGAAAAGCAAAAATGGCGCGAAGAAGCCGATCTCATAAGTAAAAAGACGCGTTAAACTCATTTACAAGTATTTACATACAGCCATGTTCCTACCCAAAATATATCAGTCTTTATCATGTGCTATTGTAGATACACAAGGAAAATAACTATAGATAGTAAAATATGATCTGACCTTTAGCTGCACCTGCATCTTCTTCTGTGGCACAACACACACTCACAATACTACTAAGATGTCACAAAGGCTCATAAAATATTTAACAACCACCTCTCAACTAAACACACTGAGATATTACAGAGCTCACAATATATTTAGCAAACAACTTTCAACTCGGAATATATTTTTCACAAACACCAAACACCAAACTTCCAAAACACTGCACATAGTTACAACATAACTAACCTGTCATAATAATGTTGCGCCAGAGACGTACCATTTCCGCACAAGGATCGGACACTCCATGTACTTAACAAATCCATAGAGCACGAATATCAGGACAGACACTTTCCGCCGTTACATTCAAATATAAATTAAATTTTATGTGTTATAGTAAATTTTTACTACTTTGCAAGGCTAGATATCAAAGTTGGATTACTTGTGTAAAATCGCGCTTTTAAAATTAATTGATTAAATTTCATATAAACTACTTCATTAGCCTTTATTTTTCACCGATTTCTGTTTTTGTATGCTGGATTTTCAAAGTTTTGTGCTTTTATGCTAACCTGACTTAATACTACGTTGATTTTACATCCCAAACAGTTGTCTCTTCACTATATGATGAATTTTATTGTGTCAAATATTTATTGATGCAGCAATGACGGGTAACAGCTATTTTTAGTTAGAAAAATATTAAAATTTCCAAGTGAAAACCGATATCACTACCGTTTAACATCACGTTGCTCAAAGCGGGATCGAACCCCGTTTCCCTCATTGACCTCGTGTCACTCTAGCCACTTACCTACAAGCAAACCGCTGATCAAGCAAATATATACAATTATTATTTAAAAGGGACAAAATCTATCGATGGCAGTACAGTAAACCCTCGCTTTACGCGGCAAGTGCGTACCGTGCAGTATAGGAACCGTGCTATAAGAAACTCGTATTTAACATACAATTCAGGCTAATTCGTAGTGCGTTCTATGGAACCTTACATAGTGCAGTATGGGATCCGTGCTATGAGAGACTCAGAGTTGGTACAAATCGCACCATATTTATCGCGCTGTATGGATACCAAGAAATACAACTTGAAGTAGGAGAAATACGGACGAAATGACATGAAGGACATTGACACCTTATTCAAAAATTGGCGCGACGCAGTAGTCAGCTCAAACGTGTTCTTAGACGGCTATTATACAATCAGGCATGTCTAAAAGATAAAAGTCGATAACAAAATTTACATCCCCTTTTGCACAACGAACAATACCCTTTTGCACAACGAACTTATGGGCTGTTGACCAAATAACGTGTAATAAGAAGTCCGTGTAGTCGGAGGGATGTCGGATTTTTAGCTTCGTGTAGTATGGGAACCGTGTACCCAGAGTGCCGTGTAAAGCGAGGGCCTACTGTATATGAATCGCCATGGATTTACGACAGTATTTCATGCCAAAAGTCGGCCTTGTTCATAATGCAAAGGGCCCAAAGATCAGAAACGTTAACAGCAGGTTTATATTCAATGGATCTATCAACATATATAAAGGTAAGTTCAAACTACAAATAAATTTAATTAAATCAATTTCAATATTTCAATCTATAATTTTTAGATGATGAATTATACATACCAGGCATACTCAATCCTGAGACAAATTGATGATTATGTTAAAGGATAAATATAGTTCTTTACTTTAATTTAGAAAATAAAGGTTTAGATGTTTTTAGAAATATTATTTTATGCAAATTAAAACTTTAGTGTAACTATTATTATAACACCAATTGATAGTTTGCATATTTACATATACTATATAATGCCAAAAATTGTTAAAATAATTTTATACCTATTGCACATATCAACTCACAATTATATATCTCTGTGAACATAAAAAGTAACATACAATAAGTAACAATAACAGAAAAAGTGTTATCTTTAGTCAATAATTACGCATATTTTTTAATCATTTTGTACCTAAGTATAAAATAATTTCTTAAGAAATTGCTTGATATATTCTCTTTTATAATAATCCTTTATTACATATTATGAAAACTATAGCAATGTAAGATACTTAAAATTTATTAAATCAAATATTACCTACTATTACTAAATATTTTTACTTTAATTATATACTAATTTTATAATTATATAATATATAGGGGGAAGTTCCGTAACGCCGGACAGAACCAAGCGCCGGGCACTCTAACACGTATTATTTAAGCGAGTGAAGGGGCATGGGGGTATACAGGTACAGGATCACGCGCCAAGCCTCGCCTGTGACGCACACGGCCACGGCGTGAGTAACCCTTTCCTGTTTTAGGCGTCACTTGAATATCAATAGAAGTAATTCTAGCATATTTATGCATTTACTTTTAAGTGGTATGCAAAGATAAAAGTTGTACTTGATTGTTATCCGTAAAATGGCAGAATATCATTAGATCATTTAACCAATCTTAGTAGGTGCCATTAAATGAACGAAAATGTCTGTCCCTAAGCACCGGCCACTAAGTCGTCTCTTAGTGCCGGACAGTAAACATATTGATATTTCTTGTGAGAACTTACGTAATTTATTTCAATTATTTAATTTTATTCTGTATGAGTAGTAACGGTCACTGCATACCCACATTTTATGTATTTCCTTTTCAAAGAATGAAAAGCTTATGAATGCACCAGCTGAGAGCATCGGTATGGCCCAGCCAAAAGGGTGGATGAATAGTGACTTTTTTTGCAACATCTAAAAATATTCATCAAAGACACATGTGCAGACATTCCAGAGCGTGGCGATGGCTACATATGTGATCTATGCAGGTTATTTTGAAATGTCCGGTACTAGGTGCCACTTTTTAAAATCATATTTTTTGATAGCAAAGTTTGATTGATAGTATTAATTATTTTTTAGCAACGATTACGGTTTTGTTAATTTAGTTTGATTTCTAACTTTGTTATCTAACATAAATCATAATTTAATAAATATATTGTAAAATATTTTTTGATTTATTTATGAATAACCTTAGGTGTCCGCTATTTGGGGACTTCCCCCTATATAACATAACATTTTCTAACATATTAGACAAATTAAAATATAAGAAATTTTAAAACTTATTGCATTTGAAATCCTTTAGTGAATTTTGTATCAGGGTTGACATCGAATTACATAGCCTTCAAGAGAATTAATTTTATATTTTGGGATTTCTATAACTCACTAAATCATAAATAACAATAACTAAAAATAAGTTATACAAAACTCTACTTAATTATATTACATTCTATACAACCCTTTTAATTGTTAATGATGTCTTTACTTGAACTAAAATACTTCTGGGTTTATGGACTAAAATAAATGATGTACGTTCTAATTATTATTTCTGCTGTCTATAATTATTGTATTCATTTATTTTAAGTATTCATGATAATTAAAAAGAAATGATAGTAAACAATTTTACTTAGATCTCCCATATAATAAAATAAACTAGCTGTAAGTGGAATTCTGTCTTGAGGCAATTATGGCATTGTGCCTTAAGGCAAATTGCTGGAACTTCCCGTACCGTAACGAAATGTTCGAGGAATATTAAATGTTTTCAAATAGATTATTATAAATATTGTAACATTGTCTAATATTTATAAGAATTATATAAACTGAATTGCAGAGTTGAAATTATTTGTTTAAAGTATATTAGAACTATAGTCAGAATTAAAAATAAAATCTGAATTATTTTCGATATACAAAAAAATTTAAAAATTAAAAAATTAAAAAAAAAAAAAATCGTACAAAATTTTTTTTTTCCAAAATCAATTAATTTGTTAAGACAAGCAGAAAGTTCTTTGAATCAATTGAATCGGACGCTTAATTCTCTCAAAAACTGCCATTTTTTGTACATTTAGCTCTGTATCTCCGAAATGGCTGGGCCTGCCTTTGCGAAAAACTAATAACCCCTTCTCCCAGTTATTACTAATTGAATGTTTTTTAGATCATTCAAATCGGATGCTCTGTTCTCTCAAAAACTCGATTTCTATTTTCTGCACTCTTTGCTCCTTATCTCCGTAACTGCTGGACCTGCCTTTTTGCCAAAAACTAATCAGCTCTTCTCCTTATCAATAGGAATCGAATGTTTTTTAAATTATTCAAATCGGTTAATCCGTACGGCCGAAAACGTGGGCGAAAATTTGTATCCATACATACATACACACACACACACACACACACACACATCCATTTTTTTCTGAGGTATGCCAAAACGTTCAGAAACCTTCAAAACGTCGAGAAATGTAAAAATTTTCAATTCCGATTTTCGGCCCATTACAATAACTTACCCTACGGGAAGTTAAAAAATATTATTTGAGTGTGCTACATGTATTTACCTACATTTGAGAAGTAAAATGGATTCAAAAATTTTAAATTCCGGAATTCTGCATTTTCCTTTAGTTATATTGAACTGGGCGGGGTTAGTAAAATTTAAAAAATATAACTTTTGCTTTTTAAGTCAGTTCAAAGGTTATGTGTCTGTAATAGCATATCTGCTGTACAATATATCGCAAATAATATTTTTCATTGAACATCGTAATGAAATTACAAGAATAACATTAACGGGAGGCACATTTGCTCTATACTCAACTGTGTGGACAAAATCATGGACTCTTATGAAACATGGACCAGATTTCGAAAAGCTATTTGAGAAGATATATAAAGATTCAAATATTATTGAAAAATATGGAGATGAAGAACAAAAATCGATTTTGAATACTCATATTAGACGCAGTACCAAAATTGCATGGATATTGGAAGTGAATGTGATTTTGACGTGTGTAATTTTTGCTATCTATTTGACTTGGGTTTGCTTCATCAATCACAGGTAATATAGATTTTTTTTTCAACTTTACATTCCTAATATCGCTATCCCAAAATGGTTAAGTACTCCTTTTAATTTTGAGGCAAAATTGATAGAGGAGGCTGGGTAGGGTTGTCAGAATAATACTTTGTTTAAATATAATATAGATTTTTTTAAATTGACTATTCTTCATTTTGAAAAGATTGGATTAGAATTAGTGGTCCATTAGGTAAAGTCTAAGTATAAAGTTTTCAAGCTAGATTGAAAGATTTTTGTGGAGTGAATATTATGTAACTTTATACTATTTTAATATGGTTAACTTCCTG